GCCAGCCTCCACTGGAGGTCCCCGCTGCGCTTTGAAACGGGGGCCTTGTAGAGCTGTTTCCACTGGGGGGTGGTGTCGATCAAGGGAGAGAAGAACTCCCTCCACTTCGTGTCCGGTAGGTTTTCCAGCTCTCGACACCGCAGTGTTTTGACGCAGCAGTCGTACAGCACCCGCTTGGAGGCGCCCTTGAGGGCCACGTCTCTGCAGTTCGCGATCTTGAGCAACCTCCCTGCCTCACAGCGCCCGGGGGGCTGGATGCAGGAGACGCGCAACTCCTGGAAAGCGGGGGGAGGGGAGGGGGGGGAGGAGGAGGAGGGCGGCGGCCGTGCGGCACCGCTGTCTCCTGGCGTTTCTAGCTGCAAACGCAGCTTCCGCATCGCCGCGATCGCCTCTCGCAACAACTTTTCTCCAGCCATCATGGAGCGGAGCCCAGCGGCGCCGCTCACCTCAGCCGCGTTCTTCCATTTGGAGCGGCCGTCCTGGCTCCTCACAAGATCCCTAACCGTTCGCACTCCTGCCGAGGCGAAACGGAGGGCCAGCGTCCCCTCCTCCCTGATTCCATCAAGGAGGCTATTGTGGAACAGGGGTTCGGTCATGAAGCCGGTAAGGCCGTGGTGCGGGCTCGCCCTGCTCCATTCCAGGCTCCGCCACGCCTCCAACAGGCTCTGGTAATAGCCCGGCAGTCCGGTGCAATCGACTCGGGTCAGGTCCATAAGGAAGAGCTCCCTCCCATATCCCAGCCGCCCGCCCGCATTTCTCAGCAGGGCGAGGGCCAGCGACGTCCGGGGCAGCTCTTCTTGTTCGTACAGCAAGTTTCTCACGGCCTGGAGCCTGAAGCTCATCACTCGAGCGGTGACGTCTACCAGGCCCTGGCCGCCCTCACCCACCGGCAAGCAGAGGACCCCCGGCCTCATCCAGTGCTTGCCGTTCCAGACAAAGTGGGCAAGCGACCTGTTCGCCCTCGTGAGTAACCAGCCCGTGGGTTGGAGGGCCTTGGATCTGTGCCACAGCACCGAGGCTGCCAGGTTATTCCCTATGAGCACTCTCCCCCTGAAGGACATTTGTGGGGCGAGATGTGCCCACGCTCTCAGTTTAGCATCAAATACGTCGCTCATCTCAGTCCAGTTTTTATTAACGACTTGGGGCTTTCCTAGGTACACTCCGAGGTACTTCACGCCCTCACCCTGCCAGGTGACTCCGCCTGGGAGGAGCACGGAACTCATTGCACCTTGTGACCCCATCCATAACACCTCACACTTCCGCCAGTTGACTTTGGCGCAGGAGGCCTTTTCATAGACCTCCACCGCCCGGCAGAGTGCAGCGACGTCCTGCGCGTCGTTGATCACAGCGCATACGTCGTCCGCATATGCGGAGAGCTTTATGACTGCGTTCTCCGGCCCCGGGACCTTGAACCCGGACAAGGTGTTTCTCAGGCGTCGCAAGAGCGGCTCAAGGGACAGGGTGTAAAGGAGCCCCGAGAGAGGGCACCCCTGCCTGACTCCTCTTGTCATGGGAACAGGGCAGCCAAGCCTTTGATTGATTTTTATGAGGCTGGATATGCCCGTATATAGGAGGTGCACGTGTGACGTGAAGTTCTGGCCGAACCCGAAGGAGAGGAGCAGTCTTCTCAGGTACTCGTGGCTCACCCTGTCGAACGCCTTCTCCTGGTCCATGAATAGGAGACCTGCGTCCATGTCGTGCATATCCGCGAGGGAGATCACATCCCTGACCGTGCCGATGTTGTCATAGATGCAGCGGCCGGGGATGCAATACGCCTGCTCGGGTTGCACTAGCTGACCCACCACCTCTTTGAGGCGGTTTGCCAGCGCCTTGGCGAAGATTTTATAGTCGGCGCACAGGAGGGAGACGGGCCGCCAGTTTTCTATGCGATGCAGGTCCCCCTTCTTAGGCAACAGGGTGACCACCGCCCTCCTACAGCTCTGCGGGAGTTCCCCTTCCCGCAGGCTCTCCTCCAGCACTCCAGCAGGCAAGGGCCGAGTACATCCCAGAAGGTTTCATAGAACTCAACTGGCAGCTCATCGATCCCTGGGGATTGCCAGCTGCCAGACCTTTCATGGCAGTGTGCAGCTCCTCCAGGGTGTTGGGGCTTTCCAGTTTGTCTCTCTCCGCGTCCCCCAGAGTAGGGCCCGCGGCTAGTAGTTCTTCAACCGCCTCGTCCTGTACGTGCTCAGCCTTGAACAGGTGTGAATAGAAGTCCTTCGCGATCTTAGCAATTTCCCCCTCGGCAGTTGCTGTCTCCCCCTCTGGGGTAAGCAACCCTGAAATGTTGTTCTCATTGCTCGAGGGTCTATTGATCGATGCCCAGGTGCGATCAAGGGATGGCTCCCTATTGGTCAACCACGTTATGTATGCCGATGATTTGGTAATAGCTGCTCATTCAGAAGAGGAGTTGGAGACGCTGCTGCTGAGACTGGAGCGTGCCACTAAGAGGTGGGGCCTTACCATCAGCCCCACCAAAACTAAGCACCTGCCTGGGTATTTTGTACCATCGGACACTCCACCCCCACAACTCCCAATCGGTGATGGGGAAGTTGTGGAGAGAGTGGAGAGTTTCCCATACCTGGACAGTGTGCTTATGACCGGCTCCAGTTTAACAGCAGAGGTCTCACTCCGAATCAGTCGAGCGGCAATATCTTTTCATCGGTTGCGTAACGCTGTGTGGAAGCTACCTGGTCTGTCGCTCCGCACGAAGCTTCAGGTCTTCTCGGCCACGGTCATTCCCTCCCTTCTCTACGCTTGCGAAACGTGGACCCCCCTAATGGAGCATCTTCGCCGGTTGTAAACATTTAGGCTGGCCTGCCTACGATCCATCCTGGGTTTAACCAGGCTGGATTGTGTGAGGAGCTCACAAATCCTTGAAAGATCTGGGCAAAGTCCCATCGGTGAGCTCCTCCGGCAGGCAAGGCTGCGTTGGCTGGGTCATGTAGCCCGCATGCCCAGCCACCGCATGCTTAAACAGCTTTTGTTCGGCCGGATCGAGGGGGCTAAACGGGCGCGACACGGGCTAGAGAAGAGATGGAGTGATGTGGTACAGGAGGACGTGGAGCTGAGTGGACTTGCCGATGACTGGTACCAGCGGTGTCAAGATCGGCCTCAGTGGAGGAGGCTCGTGAAGGATGCTACTGGGCAGTTGGGAGGCAGTCGCCCTACAACAACAACGGAGGGCGGAGGAGCGACGCTCACAACAACGAGCGGAGCGCCGGGTGGCTAAAGCACAGCAAGTTGGTACAGTAGGGGGCAAAGGTGGTACATCAGCCAGTCATCTCGGTCATCTCGGTCAGTCGACCAGTGGCACCTGCTGGGTCTGCCCCGTGACCTCCTGCCAGCGGGCGTTCGACACTTCACATGGCCTCAAGGTGCACTTGGCATGGCACAAGCGTCGTGGTGACGTCACCGCCACTTATTGGCGAATGGCGGTTGTTGTTGTTGTGTGTACCTGTGTGTGTGTGTACCTGTGTGTGTGTGTACCTGTGTGTGTGTGTACCTGTGTGTGTGCGTGTGTGCGTGTGTGTGTGTGCGTGTGCGCGTGTGTGCGTGCGTGTGCGCGCGTGTGTGTGCGTGTGTGTGCGCGTGTGTGTGTGCGTGTGTGTGTGCGTGTGTGTGCGTGTGTGTGTGTGCGTGTGTGTGTGCGTGTGTGTGCGTGTGTGCGGTCTGGGTCGGAATGTGCCGAGGGGAGCAACGGGACACGTCCAGGCGACGCCGCAACGGAATGTGCGGCACAGAGAGTCGGGGAGGGGAGCTCCTCTGATCGTAGCAAAAAGAAAGAAGAGCGGAGAGGGAGGATGGGGAGAGAGAGGGGAGGGGAGAGAGATGAGGGGAGAGTGGGAGGAGAGGGGGGGGGGGGGGGTAGAGAGAGAGGGGGAAGGGGTAAGAAGGAGGAGAACGGAGCGTGAAATATTTCGTGAAATATTTCATTTAAACAGGGGGGGGGGGCACATAAAGCAAAGCATTGAAAGAAAAAAAGGGGAGAGAGAGAGTGGAGGGGGAGGGGAGGGAGAGAAAGAGAGAGGGGAGAGAGATGTTGGGTGTCGGAGAGAGATGAGGAGTAGGAGGCAAGTTGTGTAACAAAATCCACTTTGTGGCAAGGCGCCCCGATTGACCGCTGAACCGCAAAGGGAAGTTAACCGGCTCAGTCAACTCGTCAACTCACCCCTCACGGCCTGCTCCTAGCACCCTCTGTATCTCAGCGTAATCATCGTCACCGTGATCTATCCACTGCTGAATGAAGATCAATATGATGATGATGAGATGGAACAGATGGAAATTAGTCCACACACGGTGTAGAAGGGAGTGAGATGGAACAGATGGGGATTAGTCCACACACGGGGTAGAAGGGAGTGAGATGGAACAGATGGAGATTAGTCCACACACGGGGTAGAAGGGAGTGAGATGGAACAGATGGAGATTACACTACGAGACCTCCTTTACCAGTGGAAAAATATAGTAATAGGTTTTTACCCTTTCAACTGGTACCAAACATTTGCGGGGCCACTTCCGAAAAAAGATCTGCACATAGCAAGCTCGGCGTGGGGGCCCTTAGCGGGTTAAATAAAACTAATAATTTAGTTTCGTTAACTTAAACAAATTGTCGACCATTTTTCCGGTATCCCCACATGTATGTACTGTTGTGTGTGTGGTTAATGCAGTAACAAACAGCGTCACACTGACCACCCCCTCCTCCTCCTCCTCCCCCCCCGTGGCGACGCCCGGCGTGACGGCGGTGTGGCCCAGGGCCAGCCGCCCCGTGTAGGAGCAGCCCAGAGCCTGCGCTAGGCCCCGCACGTGGACGTGGCCGCTGCTCTGGGGGCCGGCCGGCTCGTCGTCGCCGCAGCGGCTGACCAGGGGCCACTGCTCCCAAACGGAGCGGTGGCCGCCGTGGATATCCTCCGACTCCTCCTCTTCGTCGTCGTCACGGCGCCCGCCGTCGTCGTGGCGACCGTCGCCGTACGACGAGGAGGTGGAGGAGGTGGGAGAGGGGGCGACGCCACTGGGCGACCGCGGGGCGAGCGGAGAGGTTGGGCAGCGCCAGAAGATTGCGGAGCCGTCGGAGCAGGCGGTGAGTAGTAGGTGGGGGGCCAGGCACACCGGGTAGATGGACGATGAGCTGAGGTGGCCTGACACCCACACGGGGGGGGGGGGAGAGGGGGGGTAGAGGGGGGGGCGAGGGTCGACGGAGCTCACCACCAACATCACCACCACCAACGTCACCAACGTCACCAACGTCACCACCACCACGAACGTCACAGCCGTCACCACCACCACCGCCGTCACCACCACCATCATCACCACCCCCATCACCACCCCCACCACCCACCACCATCATCACCACCATCATCATCACCATCATCACCACCACCACCACCCCCATCACCACCACAACCATCACCACCACCACCCTCATCACGACCACCCCTATCACCACCACCATCATCACCATCGCCACCCCCTTCACGACCACCCCTATCACCACCATCACCATCACCACCACCCCCATCGCGACCACCCCTATCACCACCACCACCATCACCACCACCACCCCCATCACGACCACCCCTATCACCACCACCACCATCACCACCACCCCCATCACCATCACCATCACCACCACCATCACTACCAGCCCCATCACCGTGTGAGATGGAGAGTTCGTGGTGTCGATGGCCCAGGATGAAGTCCTCCTGGAAGACGTGCATCAGCTGCACCTCGGAGACACGCTGCGACACAGAGACACAGAGACACGCTGAGACACAGAGACACGGGGAGACACGCTGAGACACAGAGACACGAGGAGACACGCTGAGACACAGAGACACGGGGAGACACGCTGAGACACAGAGACACGGAGAGACACAGAGAGACACAGAGAGACACACAGAGACACACAGAGACACGCTGAGACACGGGGAGAGACACAGAGACACATCGACGATGATGGTGATGATGGTGACGATGGTGACGATGGTGACGATGGTGGTGATGATGGTGACGATGGTGATGATGGTGATGATGATGGTGATGATGGTGATGATGGTGACGATGGGGACGATGGGGACGATGGTGATGATGGTGATGTTGGTGACGATGATGGTGATGATGGTGATGTTGACTATGGTGATGATGGTGGCGATGGTGGTGATGGTGACGATGGCGATGTATCCTGGTGGCGATGGTGGTGATGATGGTGATGATGGTGATGATGGTGGTGATGGTGACGATGGTGATTGTACCCTGGTGGCGATGGTGGTGATGATGGTGATGATGGTGGTGATGGTGATGATGGTGATGATGGTGATGATGGTGGTGATGATGGTGGTGATGATGGTGGTGATGGTGGTGATGGTGACGATGATGGTGACGATGATAGTGACGATGATAGTGACGATGATAGTGACGATGATGGTGATGATGGTGATGATGGTGATTGTACCCTGGTGGCGATGGTGATGATGGTGACTATGATGATGATGATGGTGGTGATGATGGCGATGGCGATGGTGATGGTGATGATGGTGGTGATGGTGTGGATGATGATGGTGATGATGGTGGCGATGGTGATTGTACCCTGGTGGTGATGGTGGTGATGGTGATGATGGTGATGATGGTGATTGTACCCTGGTGGTGATGATGATGGTGATGATGGTGATGATGGTGGTGATGGTGATGATGGTGATGATGGTGATGATGGTGGTGATGATGGAGATGATGGTGATGACGGTGACGATGGCGATGTACCCTGGTGGCGATGGTGATGGTGATGATGGTGGTGATGGTGGTGATTGTACCCTGGTGGTGATGGTGATGATGGTGATGATGGTGGTGACGATGGCGATGTACCCTGGTGGCGATGGTGATGATGGTGATGGTGACGATGGTGATGATGGTGATGGTGGTGATGGTGGTGATGGTGATCAACTGCACAAAGCCGGGTGATGGTGATGAGTGGGTGGTGATGGTGATCACTTGCACAACTCGCTCACTCACTCACTCACAAACTCACTCACTCACCCACTCACTCACTCACCCACTCACTCACACACTCACTCACACACTCGCTGACCCACTCACACACTCACTCACCCACTCACTCACCCGCTCGCTCACTCACCCACTCACTCACCCACTCACTCACTCACACACTCACTCACACACTCGCTGACCCACTCACCCACTCACTCACCCACTCACCCACTCACTCACCCACTCGCTCACTCACCCACTCACCCACCCGCTCTCTCACTCATCCACTCACTTACCCACCCGCTCGCTCACCCGCTCGCTCACTCGCCCACTCACTTACTCACCCACTCACCCACTCACTCATCTAGCCACTCACTCACCCACTCACCCATCCACCCACTCACTCACCCACTCACTCACCCGCCCACTCACCCAGCCACTCGCCCACTCCCTCACCACAACCACCAACACTAAGACCACAACTGCCACCCCCAACCACCATCATCACAACCACAACCACCACCATAACCAAATCAACCACCACCACCACCACAATCATCACCACTGCCACAACCACCACCACTTTGACCACATCCACCACCACAACCACCACCACCCACCCTCCATGCGATTGAGAGGATCTTCTCTGGCCGTGTGGAGTATCCCAACCGGTGGTGGTTGTTGTTGTGGTGAGTGTGGTGGTTATGGTTGTGGTTGTGGTGGTTGTGGTGGTAGTGGTGTTAGTGGTGGTTATGGTGGTTGTGGTGGTAGTGGTGGTAGTGGTTGTGGTGGTGGTGGTTGTGGTGGTGGAAGTCACGCAGGCACCTGGGCAGACGCACACACACTCACTCGCTCACTCGCTCACTCGCTCACTCGCTCACCCGCTCACCCACTCACTCGCTCACCCACTCGCTCGCTCGCTAACTCACGCACTCACTCACCCGCTCGCTCACTCACCCACTCACACACACACTCACTCACACACTCACCCGCTCGCTCACACACTCATCCACTCACACACTCACCCACTCACTCGCTCACCCACTCACCCGCTCGCTCACACACTCATCCACTCACCCACTCACTCACTAACCCACTCACTCACTCGCTGACCCACTCACTCACCCACTCAATCACCCACTCACTCACCCACTCACTTACCCACCCGCTCGCTCACCCGCTCGCTCACTCACCCACCCACTCAATTACCCACTCACTTACTCACCCGCTCGCTCACTCACCCACTCACCCACCCACTCGCCCACTCCTTCACCACAACCACCAACACTAAGACCACAACTACCACCCCCAACCACCATCATCACAACCACAACCACCACCATAACCAAATCAACCACCACCACCACAATCATCACCACCGCCACAACCACCACAACCCCCACTACAACCACCACCACTTTGACCACATCCACCACCACAACCACCACCACCCACCCTCCATGCGATTGAGAGGATCTTCTCTGGCCGTGTGGAGTAACCCAGCCGGTGGTGGTTGTTGTTGTGGTTGTGGTGAGTGTGTTGGTTATGGTTGTGGTGGTTGTGGTGGTAGTGGTGTTAGTGGTGGTTATGGTGGTTGTGGTGGTAGTGGTGGTAGTGGGGCTGTAGTGGTAGTGGTGGTTGTAGTGGTAGTGGTGGTTGTGGTGGTAGTGGTGCTGTGGTGGTAGTGGTGGTTGTGGTAGTGTTAGTGGTGGTTGTGGTGGTTGTTGTGGTTGTGGTAGTGTTAGTGGTGGTTGTGGTGGTTGTTGTAGTTGTGGTAGTTATTGTGGTGGTGGTAGTGGTGGTGGTAGTGGTTGTTGTGGTGGTGGTTGTGGTGGTGGTGGTTGTGGTGGTGGTTGTTGTGGTGGTGGTGGTTGTGGTAGTGGTTGTGGTGGTGGTAGTGGTGGTGGTTGTTGTGGTGGTAGTGGTGGTAGTGGTTGTGGTGGTATTAGTGGTGGTTGTGGTGGTAGTGGTGGTTGTGGTGGTGGTTGTGGTGGTTGTGGTAGTGGTTGTGGTACTGGTTGTGGTAGTGGTTGTGGTAGTGGTTGTGGTAGTGGTGGTGGTTGTGGTGGTGGTGGTTGTGGTGGTTGTGGTAGTTGTGGTGGTTGTGGTAGTGGTGGTGGTGGTAGTGGTGGTTGTAGTGGTGATGTTGGTTGTGGTGGTTGTGGTGGTGGTTCTGGTGGTTGTGGTGGTGGTGGTGGTTGTGGTGGTGGTGGTGGAAGTGGTTGTTGTGGTGGTGGTTGTAATAGTAGTTGTGGTTGTGGTGGTTGTGGTGGTTGTAGTGGTTGTCGTGGTTGTCGTGGTGGTGGTTGTGGTGGTGGTGATTGTGGTGGTGATTGTGGTAGTGGTTGTGGTGGTGGTTGTGGTGGTAGTGGTGGTTGTGGTGGTGGTGGTAGTGGTGGTGGTGGTAATGGTGGTTGTGGTGGTGGTTGTGGTGGTGGTAGTGGTGGTGGTGGTTGTAGTGGTTGTCGTGGTTGTCGTGGTGGTGGTTGTGGTGGTAGTGGTGGTAGTGGTGGTAGTGGTGGTGGTTGTGGTGGTGGTGATTGTGGTGGTGATTGTGGTAGTGGTTGTGGTGGTTGTGGTGGTAGTGGTGGTTGTGGTGGTGGTGGTAGTGGTGGTGGTGGTGGTTGTGGTGGTAGTGGTGGTTGTGGTGGTGGTTGTGGTGGTGGTAGTGGTGGTTGTGGTGGTAGTGTTAGTGGTGGTGGTTGTGGTGGTGGTTGTAGTGGTGGTTGTGATAGTAGTGGTGGTGGTTGTGGTGTTAGTGGTGGTGGTGGTTGTGGTGGTGGTTGTGGTGGTGGTTGTGGTAGTGGTGGTTGTGGTGGTTGTGGTGGTGTTAGTGGTGGTGTTAGTGGTGGTGGTTGTGGTGGTGGTTGTGGTGGTAGTGGTTGTGGTGGTGGTGTTATTGGTGGTGGAAGTCACGCAGGAACCTGGGCAGACGCACACACACTCACTCGCTCACCCGCTCACCCGCTCACCCGCTCACCCACTCGCCCACTCGCTCACCCGCTCACCCACTCGCTCACTCGCTCACCCGCTCACCCACTCACCCACTCGCTCACCCACTCACTCGCTCACCCGCTCACTCACCCACTCACTCACTCACACACTCACCCGCTCGCTCACACACTCATCCACTCACCCACTCGCACACTCACCACACTCACCCACTCACCCGCTCGCTCACACACTCATCCACTCACCCACTCACACACTCACCCACTCACCCACTCACCCACTCACTCGCTCACCCACTCACCCGCTCACCCACTCACTCGCTCACCCACTCACTCGCTCACACACTCATCCACTCACACACTCGTTGACCCACTCACTCACTCGCTGACCCACTCACTCACTCACTCACCCGCTCGCTCACTCACCCACTCACCCGCTCGCTCACTCACCCACTCACCCACCCGCTCGCTCACCCGCTCTCTCACTCACCCACTCACCACCTCACTCACTCACCCACCCACCCGATCGCTCACCCGCTCTCTCACTCACCCACTCACTTACCCACCCGCTCGCTCACCCACCTACTCACTCACCCACTCACTCACTCATACACTCACTCACACACTTACACACTCACTCAGTGAGTGTGTGGGTGAGTGTGTGGGTGAGTGAGTGGGTGAGTGGGTGAGCTCACCCCCCCTCTCACCCTCCCTAGCGGTAGTCCTGCAGTTGGCGAGAGACGTCCACGCTGATGAACTCGAGCGAGTTGGTGATGAACGTCCGCACGACCTCCTCACACGGAGATCCCTTCCTGCGGAGCCCCTCTGGGGAGACACCAACACTCAGTCACTCACTCAGTCACTCACTCAGTCACTCAGTCAGTCACTCAAGTCACTCACTCAGTCACTCACTCAGTCACTCAGTCAGTCAATCACTCAGTCACTCACTCAGTCACTCACTCAGTCACTCACTCAGTCACTCAGTCACTCAGTCACTCAGTCAGTCGCTCACTCAGTCACTCACTAACTCACTAACTCAGTTAGTCACTAACTCACTCAGTCAGTCACTCAGTCAGTCAGTCACTCACTCAGTCACTCAGTCAGTCAGTCACTCAGTCAGTCACTAACTCACTCAGTCACTCAGTCAGTCACTCATGCGGTCAGTCATTCAGTCACTCAGACAGTCACTCAGTCACTCACTCACACTCACTCAATGTTAAAGTGTCTACCCATAGAGTTCAATGTTAAAGTGTCTACCCATAGACTCCAATGTCAAAGTCTCTACCCATAGACTTCAATGTTAAAGTGTCTCCTCATAGACTTCAATGTTAAAGTGTCTACCCATAGACTTCAATGTTAAAGTGTCTACCCATAGACTTCAATGTTAAAGTCTCTACCCATAGACTTCAATGTTAAAGTGTCTACCCATAGACTTCAATATTACAGTGTCTACCCATAGACTTCAATGTTAAAGTGTCTACCCATAGACTTCAATGTTAAAGTGTCTACCCATAGACTTCAATGTTAAAGTGTCTACCCATAGACTTCAATGTTAAAGTGTCTACCCATAGACTTCAATGTTAAAGTGTCTACCCATAGACTTCAATGTTAAAGTGTCTACCCATAGACTTCAATGTTAAAGTGTCTACCCATAGACTTCAATGTTAAAGTGTCTACCCATAGACTTCAATGTTAAAGTGTCTACCCATAGACTTCAATGTTAAAGTGTCTACCCATAGACTTCAATGTTAAAGTGTCTACCCATAGACTTCAATGTTAAAGTGTCTACCCATAGACTTCAATGTTAAAGTGTCTACCCATAGACTTCAATGTTAAAGTGTCTACCCATAGACTTCAATGTTAAAGTGTCTACCCATAGACTTCAATGTTAAAGTGTCTACCCATAGACTTCAATGTTAAAGTGTCTACCCATAGACTTCAATGTTAAAGTGTCTACCCATAGACTTCAATGTTAAAGTGTCTACCCATAGACTTCAATGTTAAAGTGTCTACCCATAGACTTCAATGTTAAAGTGTCTACCCATAGACTTCAATGTTAAAGTGTCTACCCATAGACTTCAATGTTAAAGGTCTACCCATAGACTTCAATGTTAAAGTGTCTACCCATAGACTTCAATGTTAAAGTGTCTACCCATAGACTTCAATGTTAAAGTGTCTACCCATAGACTTCAATGTTAAAGTGTCTACCCATAGACTTCAATGTTAAAGTGTCTACCCATAGACTTCAATGTTAAAGTGTCTACCCATAGACTTCAATGTTAAAGTGTCTACCCATAGACTTCAATGTTAAAGTGTCTACCCATAGACTTCAATGTTAAAGTGTCTACCCATAGACTTCAATGTTAAAGTGTCTACCCATAGACTTCAATGTTAAAGTGTCTACCCATAGACTTCAATGTTAAAGTGTCTACCCATAGACTTCAATGTTAAAGTGTCTACCCATAGACTTCAATGTTAAAGTGTCTACCCATACTCACTTCAATGTTAAAGTGTCTACCCATAGACTTCAATGTTAAAGTGTCTACCCATAGACTTCAATGTTAAAGTGTCTACCCATAGACTTCAATGTTAAAGTGTCTACCCATAGACTTCAATGTTAAAGTGTCTCCCCATAGACTTCAATGTTAAAGTGTCTACCATAGACTTCAATGTTAAAGTCTCTACCCATAGACTTCAATGTTAAAGTGTCTACCCATAGACTTCAATGTTAAAGTGTCTACCCATAGACTTCAATGTTAAAGTGTCTACCCATAGACTTCAATGTTAAAGTGTCTACCCATAGACTTCAATGTTAAAGTGTCTACCCATAGACTTCAATGTTAAAGTGTCTACCCATAGACTTCAATGTTAAAGTGTCTACCCATAGACTTCAATGTTAAAGTGTCTACCCATAGACTTCAATGTTAAAGTGTCTACCCATAGACTTCAATGTTAAAGTGTCTACCCATAGACTTCAATGTTAAAGTGTCTACCCATAGACTTCAATGTTAAAGTGTCTACCCATAGACTTCAATGTTAAAGTGTCTACCCATAGACTTCAATGTTAAAGTGTCTACCCATAGACTTCAATGTTAAAGTGTCTACCCATAGACTTCAATGTTAAAGTGTCTACCCATAGACTTCAATGTTAAAGTGTCTACCCATAGACTTCAATGTTAAAGTGTCTACCCATAGACTTCAATGTTAAAGTGTCTACCCATAGACTCCAATGTTAAGTGTCTACCCATAGACTTCAATGTTAAAGTGTCTACCCATAGACTTCAATGTTAAAGTGTCTACCCATAGACTTCAATGTTAAAGTGTCTACCCATAGACTTCAATGTTAAAGTGTCTACCCATAGACTTCAATGTTAAAGTGTCTACCCATAGACTTCAATGTTAAAGTGTCTACCCATAGACTTCAATGTTAAAGTGTCTACCCATAGACTTCAATGTTAAAGTGTCTACCCATAGACTTCAATGTTAAAGTGTCTACCCATAGACTTCAATGTTAAAGTGTCTACCCATAGACTTCAATGTTAAAGTGTCTACCCATAGACTTCAATGTTAAAGTGTCTACCCATAGACTTCAATGTTAAAGTGTCTACCCATAGACTTCAATGTTAAAGTGTCTACCCATAGACTTCAATGTTAAAGTGTCTACCCATAGACTTCAATGTTAAAGTGTCTACCCATAGACTTCAATGTTAAAGTGTCTACCCATAGACTTCAATGTTAAAGTGTCTACCCATAGACTTCAATGTTAAAGTGTCTACCCATAGACTTCAATGTTAAAGTGTCTACCCATAGACTTCCAATGTTAAAGTGTCTACCCATAGACTTCAATGTTAAAGTGTCTACCCATAGACTTCAATGTTAAAGTGTCTACCCATAGACTTCAATGTTAAAGTGTCTACCCATAGACTTCAATGTTAAAGTGTCTACCCATAGACTTCAATGTTAAAGTGTCTACCCATAGACTTCAATGTTAAAGTGTCTACCCATAGACTTCAATGTTAAAGTGTCTACCCATAGACTTCAATGTTAAAGTGTCTACCCATAGACTTCAATGTTAAAGTGTCTACCCATAGACTTCAATGTTAAAGTGTCTACCCATAGACTTCAATGTTAAAGTGTCTACCCATAGACTTCAATGTTAAAGTGTCTACCCATAGACTCAATGTTAAAGTGTCTACCCATAGACTTCAATGTTAAAGTGTCTACCCATAGACTTCAATGTTAAAGTGTCTACCCATAGACTTCAATGTTAAAGTGTCTACCCATAGACTTCAATGTTAAAGTGTCTACCCATAGACTTCAATGTTAAAGTGTCTACCCATAGACTTCAATGTTAAAGTGTCTACCCATAGACTTCAATGTTAAAGTGTCTACCCATAGACTTCAATGTTAAAGTGTCTACCCATAGACTTCAATGTTAAAGTGTCTACCCATAGACTTCAATGTTAAAGTGTCTACCCATAGACTCCAATGTTAAAGTGTCTACCCATAGACTTCAATGTTAAAGTGTCTACCCATAGACTTCAATGTTAAAGTGTCTACCCATAGACTTCAATGTTAAAGTGTCTACCCATAGACTTCAATGTTAAAGTGTCTACCCATAGACTTCAATGTTAAAGTGTCTACCCATAGACTTCAATGTTAAAGTGTCTACCCATAGACTTCAATGTTAAAGTGTCTACCCATAGACTTCAATGTTAAAGTGTCTACCCATAGACTTCAATGTTAAAGTGTCTACCCATAGACTTCAATGTTAAAGTGTCTACCCATAGACTTCAATGTTAAAGTGTCTACCCATAGACTTCAATGTTAAAGTGTCTACCCATAGACTTCAATGTTAAAGTGTCTACCCATAGACTTCAATGTTAAAGTGTCTACCCATAGACTTCAATGTTAAAGTGTCTACCCATAGACTTCAATGTTAAAGTGTCTACCCATAGACTTCAATGTTAAAGTGTCTACCCATAGACTTCAATGTTAAAGTGTCTACCCATAGACTTCAATGTTAAAGTGTCTACCCATAGACTTCAATGTTAAAGTGTCTACCCATAGACTTCAATGTTAAAGTGTCTACCCATAGACTTCAATGTTAAAGTCTCTACCCATAGACTTCAATGTTAAGTGTCTACCCATAGACTTCAATGTTAAAGTGTCTCCCCATAGACTTCAATGTTAAAGTGTCTACCCATAGACTTCAATGTTAAAGTGTCTACCCATAGACTCAATGTTAAAGTTGTCTACCCATAGACTCAATGTTAAAGTGTCTACCCATAGACTTCAATGTTAAAGTGTCTACCCATAGACTTCAATGTTAAAGTGTCTACCCATAGACTTCAATGTTAAAGTGTCTACCCATAGACTTCAATGTTAAAGTGTCTACCCATAGACTTCAATGTTAAAGTGTCTACCCATAGACTTCAATGTTAAAGTGTCTACCCATAGACTTCAATGTTAAAGTGTCTACCCATAGACTCAATGTTAAAGTGTCTACCCATAGACTTCAATGTTAAAGTGTCTACCCATAGACTTCAATGTTAAAGTGTCTACCCATAGACTTCAATGTTAAAGTGTCTACCCATAGACTTCAATGTTAAAGTGTCTACCCATAGACTTCAATGTTAAAGTGTCTACCCATAGACTTCAATGTTAAAGTGTCTACCCATAGACTTCAATGTTAAAGTGTCTACCCATAGACTTCAATGTTAAAGTGTCTACCCATAGACTTCAATGTTAAAGTGTCTACCCATAGACTCCAATGTTAAAGTGTCTACCCATAGACTTCAATGTTAAAGTGTCTACCCATAGACTTCAATGTTAAAGTGTCTACCCATAGACTTCAATGTTAAAGTGTCTACCCATAGACTTCAATGTTAAAGTGTCTACCCATAGACTTCAATGTTAAAGTGTCTACCCATAGACTTCAATGTTAAAGTGTCTACCCATAGACTTCCAATGTTAAAGTGTCTACCCATAGACTTCAATGTTAAAGTGTCTCCCCATAGACTTCAATGTTAAAGTGTCTACCCATAGACTCAATGTTAAAGTGTCTACCCATAGACTTCAATGTTAAAGTCTCTACCCATAGACTTCAATGTTAAAGTGTCTACCCATAGACTTCAATGTTAAAGTGTCTACCCATAGACTCAATGTTAAAGTCTCTACCCATAGACTTCAATGTTAAAGTGTCTACCCATAGACTTCAATGTTAAAGTGTCTACCCATAGACTTCAATGTTAAAGTGTCTACCCATAGACTTCAATGTTAAAGTGTCTACCCATAGACTTCAATGTTAAAGTGTCTACCCATAGACTTCAATGTTAAAGTGTCTACCCATAGACTTCAATGTTAAAGTGTCTACCCATAGACTTCAATGTTAAAGTGTCTACCCATAGACTTCAATGTTAAAGTGTCTACCCATAGACTTCCAATGTTAAAGTGTCTACCCATAGACTCAATGTTAAAGTGTCTACCCATAGACTTCAATGTTAAAGTGTCTACCCATAGACTCAATGTTAAAGTGTCTACCCATAGACTTCAATGTTAAAGTCTCTACCCATAGACTTCAATGTTAAAGTGTCTCCCCATAGACTTCAATGTTAAAGTGTCTACCCATAGACTCAATGTTAAAGTCTCTACCCATAGACTTCAATGTTAAAGTCTCTACCCATAGACTTCAATGTTAAAGTGTCTACCATAGACTCAATGTTAAAGTGTCTACCCATAGACTTCAATGTTAAAGTGTCTACCCATAGACTTCAATGTTAAAGTGTCCTACCCATAGACTTCAATGTTAAAGTGTCCTACCCATAGACTTCAATGTTAAAGTGTCTACCCATAGACTTCCAATGTTAAAGTGTCTACCCCTAGACTTCCATGTTAAAGTGTCTACCCATAGACTTCAATGTTAAAAGTGTCTACCCATAGACTTCAATGTTAAAGTGTCCTACCCATAGACTTCAATGTTAAAGTGTCTCCCCATAGACTTCAATGTTAAAGTGTCTACCCATAGACTTCAATGTTAGTGTCTACCCATAGACTTCAATGTTAAAGTGTCTACCCATAGACTTCAATGTTAAAGTGTCTCCCCATAGACTTCAATGTTAAAGTGTCTACCCATAGACCTTCAATGTAAAGTGTCTACCCATAGACTTCAATGTTAAATGTCTCCCCCTAGACTTCAATGTTAAAGTGTCTACCCATAGACTTCAATGTTAAAGTGTCTACCCATAGACTTCAATGTTAAAGTGTCTCCCCATAGACTTCAATGTTAAAGTGTCTACCCATCGACTTCATGTTAAAGTGTCTACCCATAGACTTCAATGTTAAAGTGTCTACCCATAGACTTCAATGTTAAAGTGTCTACCATAGACTTCATAGTTAAAGTGTCTACCCATAGACTTCAATGTTTAAAGTGTCTACCCATAGACTCAATGTTAAAGTGTCTACCCATAGACTTCAATGTTTAAAGTGTCTACCCATAGACTTCAATGTTAAAGTGTCTACCCATAGACTCCAATGTTAAAGTGTCTAACCATAGACTCCATGTTAAAGTGTCTAACCCATAGACTTCAATGTAAAGTGTCTACCCCATAGACTTCAATGTTAAAGTGTCTACCCATAGACTTCAATGTTAAGTTTACTACACCATAGACTTCACATGTTTAAAGTGTCTACCCATAGACTTCAATGTTAAAGTGTCTACCCATAGACTTCAATGTTAAAGTGTCTACCCATAGACTTCAATGTTAAGTGTCTACCCATAGACTTCAATGTTAAAGTGTCTACCCATAGACTTCAATGTTAAAGTGTCTACCCATAGACTTCAATGTTAAAGTGTCTACCCATAGACTTCAATGTTAAGTGTCTACCCATAGACTTCAATGTTAAAGTGTCTACCCATAGACTTCAATGTTAAAGTGTCTACCCATAGACTTCAATGTTAAAGTGTCTACCCATAGACTTCAATGTTAAAGTGTCTACCCATAGACTTCAATGTTAAAGTGTCTACCCATAGACTTCAATGTTAAAGTGTCTACCCATAGACTTCAATGTTAAAGTGTCTACCCATAGACTTCAATGTTAAAGTGTCTACCCATAGACTTCAATGTTAAAGTGTCTACCCATAGACTTCAATGTTAAAGTGTCTACCCATAGACTTCCAATGTTAAAGTGTCTACCCATAGACTTCAATGTTAAAGTGTCTACCCATAGACTTCAATGTTAAAGTGTCTACCCATAGACTTCAATGTTAAAGTGTCTCCCCATAGACTTCAATGTTAAAGTGTCTACCCATAGACTTCAATGTTAAAGTGTCTACCCATAGACTTCAATGTTAAAGTGTCTACCCATAGACTTCAATGTTAAAGTGTCTACCCATAGACTTCAATGTTAAAGTCTACCCATAGACTTCAATGTTAAAGTCTCTACCCATAGACTTCAATGTTAAAGTGTCTACCCATAGACTTCAATGTTAAAGTGTCTACCCATAGACTTCAATGTTAAAGTGTCTACCCATAGACTTCAATGTTAAAGTGTCTACCCATAGACTTCAATGTTAAAGTCTACCCATAGACTTCAATGTTAAAGTGTCTACCCATAGACTTCAATGTTAAAGTGTCTACCCATAGACTTCAATGTTAAAGTCTCCCATAGACTTCAATGTTAAAGTCTACCCATAGACTTCAATGTTAAAGTGTCTACCCATAGACTTCAATGTTAAAGTGTCTACCCATAGACTTCAATGTTAAAGTGTCTACCCATAGACTTCAATGTTAAAGTCTCTACCCATAGACTTCAATGTTAAAGTCTCTACCCATAGACTTCAATGTTAAAGTGTCTACCCATAGACTTCAATGTTAAAGTGTCTACCCATAGACTTCAATGTTAAAGTGTCTACCCATAGACTTCAATGTTAAAGTGTCTACCCATAGACTTCAATGTTAAAGTCTCTACCCATAGACTTCAATGTTAAAGTGTCTACCCATAGACTTCAATGTTAAAGTGTCTACCCATAGACTTCAATGTTAAAGTGTCTACCCATAGACTTCAATGTTAAAGTGTCTACCCATAGACTTCAATGTTAAAGTGTCTACCCATAGACTTCAATGTTAAAGTCTACCCATAGACTTCAATGTTAAAGTGTCTACCCATAGACTTCAATGTTAAAGTCTCTACCCATAGACTTCAATGTTAAAGTCTCCCATAGACTTCAATGTTAAAGTCTCTACCCATAGACTTCAATGTTAAAGTCTACCCATAGACTTCAATGTTAAAGTCTCTACCCATAGACTTCAATGTTAAAGTGTCTACCCATAGACTTCAATGTTAAAGTGTCTACCCATAGACTTCAATGTTAAAGTGTCTACCCATAGACTTCAATGTTAAAGTGTCTACCCATAGACTTCAATGTTAAAGTGTCTACCCATAGACTTCAATGTTAAAGTCTACCCATAGACTTCAATGTTAAAGTGTCTACCCATAGACTTCAATGTTAAAGTGTCTACCCATAGACTTCAATGTTAAAGTCTACCCATAGACTTCAATGTTAAAGTGTCTACCCATAGACTTCAATGTTAAAGTGTCTACCCATAGACTTCAATGTTAAAGTCTACCCATAGACTTCAATGTTAAAGTGTCTACCCATAGACTTCAATGTTAAAGTGTCTACCCATAGACTTCAATGTTAAAGTCTACCCATAGACTTCAATGTTAAAGTGTCTACCCATAGACTTCAATGTTAAAGTTCTACCCATAGACTTCAATGTTAAAGTGTCTACCCATAGACTTCAATGTTAAAGTGTCTACCCATAGACTTCAATGTTAAAGTGTCTCCCCATAGACTTCAATGTTAAAGTGTCTACCCATAGACTTCAATGTTAAAGTGTCTACCCATAGACTTCAATGTTAAAGTGTCTACCCATAGACTTCAATGTTAAAGTGTCTCCCCATAGACTTCAATGTTAAAGTGTCTACCCATAGACTTCAATGTTAAAGTGTCTACCCATAGACTTCAATGTTAAAGTGTCTACCCATAGACTTCAATGTTAAAGTGTCTCCCCATAGACTTCAATGTTAAAGTGTCTACCCATAGACTTCAATGTTAAAGTGTCTACCCATAGACTTCAATGTTAAAGTGTCTCCCCATAGACTTCAATGTTAAAGTGTTTACCCATACACTCCAATGTTAATTACGGACTTGTGTCAATGACAGATTTGGAGGTGTGGTGACTGCAGTAGAGGACACACAGAGAGAGAGAGACACTTAACCAAACAACTAACTAAGACTAGAGCTGTAATGCTGCACAACACAGAGAGAGAGAGACACTTAACCAAACAAACTAACTAAGACTAGAGCTGTAACGCTGTACAACACAAGAGAGAGTTTGTCACACGCGAGTAACGCGGCGCCTGCTGCTGACTACGACTCCCGCGGGCTGCTGCTGCTGAACGGGCGGGAGAATTGAAGCGAACGCCGCCAGGCGAGCGCAGGAGGCGAGGCCCCGCCGCGTTGACAAGCTGCAACCTGCTACTCAATCGACATCCCTACGAGAGAGACAGCGAGGCTCTACCTCGGTAAACAACAACAACAACCACCACAACAACAACAACAACCACAACAACAACAATCGCGACGAGAATTTCTCACCTCAGATTTCAGTTCCCGCGCGGAGCGGCACCTTTCCGTGACCTCGTGACGTCACGCGGCAGCAGCAGGTGACATGACGTCACGCGGCAGCAGCAGCAGGTGACATGACGTCACTCGCGGGGTACCAGGCAGTCCCCTGCCACAACGAGCGGCTCTGTAACTCAGATAGATTATGTTAATGAGATACAATTGTCACGACGTTTCGGCCACAACGCAAGCAGCCGTCTTCAGGTGAACAATATTGGTGGCGAAAGCCGCCGTGACACATTCTGGTGGTGCCCTGCTCAAGTCCATTCATTTTGTGTGTCACTGTAATTTGCATCTGGTGTCTTGGTTTTAATTCTCAAATATTCTGATTGATCATTTCGTCCCTCGCTACGTTCGAAATCATTGCTTGCTCTGGCACACTTATATGCAATAAGCTGGATGTAAGCACAGTTCTGATATAAACAACATTTCACTGCTTGGTTCTTTCCTGATGAATCCCTGCAGTCACGAAAGCTTTAAATCGAAACATTTCACTGGTGTAGATATTCACAGGGCACCTGATACAAGTGCACTTTGGATGGACTTGCATGCTAAACGTGCTTTTATCCAGCTTATACTGAAATACTATCATAACCCATTATTACTGAAACAATGACATGTAATTGTTCTAAACAATGTACCAATTTTATATTCGCTAAACTTGACCGCAAACGCCTTTCTCTGGCAGTCGTAACAGCGCCCAGCAGACGGCGGCACTTTGACAGCCACAAGCAGCGCTCCACATCGTCCAGTGCCGGAGATGGACATTCCACATTCCTGCGCCGGGGGACCTGGTTCAGTGGGACAGCCGCTGGCGATGTGTATGCACCACGTGGTACAGGCTGACAATGTCCCGCTCGTTTCAGCAACCCCAGAGGCACGGACGGTGGTGATGACACCAATGCTGTTGCTCTTGACGTTGATGAGGATGTTGCTGCTGCTGCTGCTGATGATCCTGCTGATGAGGCACAGTCCGTGTTTCCAACTCTCTACAATATAACATCCTAGGTAATGTACGTAGTACTGATAAGCAACTGGATTTCTATTGTCGTTTTGAGCTCCGTATGCTTAGATCGCTCCTGGTCACCCTTGCACAAAGAGACGTTAAGTTTCAATTGATTCCTGCTGAAATCCAAGCGCTTGCGAATTTGAGACCTGAGTTTGACTCCCGGTCATGGAAATGGACAGTGGCGAATTGTATCGGAATAGGTGACGAGCCAAACAATCTCCCACCACCCCCCACGTCACTAGTTTGCACTGACCGGCGTGGTGAAGTATGGTCAAACTAACCCCATGACCGGCGAGGCCTTCATCCAACAGTGGACACAGAGCTGTACATTTCGATGTAAAGCTGCTTTCGTGACTGCAGGGATTAATCTTCTTGGTTCGTTCGGTAAAGTCACGTAGAAGGGAAATAATAAAATAATAGAAATATGAAACAATAAAAATTATCACGACGTTTCGACTGCAACACAAGCAATCATCGTCAAGTGTGAAATCCACAGCAAGAAAGTTTGAAAAAAAAATTCTTGCTGTGCTTAGCTTCCGAGATCAGACGAGATCGGGCGCATTCAGGGTGATACGGTCGTAGGCCATACTTGCAGAGACCTGACGCACATTCATATGTAGAAATCAAGATTCAACTCTACTGCGGGAGGTCAACACTCATGAAAACGTTTATTCTGGACTCCTGGTTGAGCCCCGAAAGAGTGGCATTAAACGGTCTTTACAAGAAAATCTTGATCCCAATGCAGTACACCATATCCACGTGCAATTGGCAGGTGAACTGACTGGGGGAATTGAAGAGTAAAACGCGACCCATCCAGATAGAAAAATGCAAAAGCCTACAACACCTGGTATTCCCAGGCAGTCTCCGATCCAAGTATTAACCAGGCTCGACTCTGCTTAGCTTCCGAGCTCAGACGAGATCGGGCACATTCAGGGTGATATGGTCGTAGGCCATGCTTGCAGAGACCTGACGCACATTCATATGTAAAAATCAAGTTCGATTCCCAACAGTGGTCCTGGCGTCAAATGAGTCGCGTGTACAAACATCGCTAGCACCGGAGAGACAAAGGCGGCCGGGCGTGGTGCTGGCCACCCACCCCCTACGAACACAGCAAATACCTGAGTTCAACTCCCGCTCACGTAACACCAAGTTGAGCGAGAAGGTAGTTGAGTGCCTGGGTAGCTGAGTGAGAGAATAGTTGAGTGGCTGTGAAGTTGCGTTAGTGAGTCGTTGAGATATTGCGTAGTTGACTTCCTGGGTAGTTGAGTCGCTGGATAGTTGAGTGGCTGTGTAGTTGAGTGACGGTGTAGCTGGGTGGCTGTGTAGTTGAGTGACGATGTAGCTGGGTGGCTGTGTAGTTGAGTGACGATGTAGCTGGGTGGCTGTGTAGTTGAGTGACGATGTAGCTGGGTGGCTGTGTAGTTGAGTGACGATGTAGCTGGGTGGCTGTGTAGTTGAGTGACGATGTAGCTGGGTGGCTGTGTAGTTGAGTGACGATGTAGCTGGGTGGCTGTGTAGTTGAGTGACGATGTAGCTGGGTGGCTGTGTAGTTGAGTGACTGCGTAGCTGGGTGGCTGTGTAGTTGAGTGACTGGTGTAGCTGGGTGGCTGTGTAGTTGAGTGACGATGTAGCTGGGTGGCTGTGTAGTTGAGTGACGGTGTAGCTGGGTGGCTGTGTAGTTGAGTGACGGTGTAGCTGGGTGGCTGTGTAGTTGAGTGACGATGTAGCTGGGTGGCTGTGTAGTTGAGTGACGGTGTAGCTGGGTGGCTGTGTAGTTGAGTGACGGTGTAGCTGGGTGGCTGTGTAGTTGAGTGACGATGTAGCTGGGTGGCTGTGTAGTTGAGTGACGGCGTAGCTGGGTGGCTGTGTAGTTGAGTGACGATGTAGCTGGGTGGCTGTGTAGTTGAGTGATGATGTAGCTGGGTGGCTGAGTAGTTGAGTGACGATGTAGCTGGGTGGCTGAGTAGTTGAGTGACGGTGTAGCTGGGTGGCTGTGTAGTTGAGTGACGATGTAGCTGGGTGGCTGAGTAGTTGAGTGACGGTGTAGCTGGGTGGCTGAGTAGTTGAGTGACGATGTAGCTGGGTGGCTGAGTAGTTGAGTGACGGTGTAGCTGGGTGGCTGTGTAGTTGAGTGACGATGTAGCTGGGTGGCTGTGTAGTTGAGTGACGATGTAGCTGGGTGGCTGAGTAGTTGAGTGACGATGTAGCTGGGTGGCTGAGTAGTTGAGTGACGGTGTAGCTGGGTGGCTGTGTAGTTGAGTGACGGTGTAGCTGGGTGGCTGGGTAGTTGAGTGACGGTGTAGCTGGGTGGCTGAGTAGTTGAGTGACGGTGTAGCTGGGTGGCTGAGTAGTTGAGTGACGGTGTAGCTGGGTGGCTGTGTAGTTGAGTGACGATGTAGCTGGGTGGCTGAGTAGTTGAGTGACGATGTAGCTGGGTGGCTGTGTAGTTGAGTGACGATGTAGCTGGGTGGCTGTGTAGTTGAGTGACGGTGTAGCTGGGTGGCTGAGTAGTTGAGTGACGGTGTAGCTGGGTGGCTGAGTAGTTGAGTGACGATGTAGCTGGGTGGCTGTGTAGTTGAGTGACGATGTAGCTGGGTGGCTGAGTAGTTGAGTGACGATGTAGCTGGGTGGCTGAGTAGTTGAGTGACGATGTAGCTGGGTGGCTGTGTAGTTGAGTGACGGTGTAGCTGGGTGGCTGAGTAGTTGAGTGACGGCGTAGCTGGGTGGCTGTGTAGTTGAGTGACGTGTAGCTGGGTGGCTGTGTAGTTGAGTGACGATGTAGCTGGGTGGCTGTGTAGTTGAGTGACGATGTAGCTGGGTGGCTGTGTAGTTGAGTGACGGCGTAGCTGGGTGGCTGTGTAGTTGAGTGACAGTGTAGCTGGGTGGCTGTGTAGTTGAGTGACGGTGTAGCTGGGTGGCTGTGTAGTTGAGTGACGGTGTAGCTGGGTGGCTGTGTAGTTGAGTGACGATGTAGCTGGGTGGCTGAGTAGTTGAGTGACGATGTAGCTGGGTGGCTGTGTAGTTGAGTGACGGTGTAGCTGGGTGGCTGAGTAGTTGAGTGACGGCGTAGCTGGGTGGCTGTGTAGTTGAGTGACGGTGTAGCTGGGTGGCTGTGTAGTTGAGTGACGATGTAGCTGGGTGGCTGTGTAGTTGAGTGACGGCGTAGCTGGGTGGCTGTGTAGTTGAGTGACAGTGTAGCTGGGTGGCTGTGTAGTTGAGTGACGATGTAGCTGGGTGGCTGTGTAGTTGAGTGACGATGTAGCTGGGTGGCTGTGTAGTTGAGTGACGATGTAGCTGGGTGGCTGTGTAGTTGAGTGACGATGTAGCTGGTGGGCTGTGTAGTTGAGTGACGGTGTAGCTGGGTGGCTGAGTAGTTGAGTGACGGTGTAGCTGGGTGGCTGTGTAGTTGAGTGACGGTGTAGCTGGGTGGCTGAGTAGTTGAGTGACGGTGTAGCTGGGTGGCTGGTGTAGTTGATGACGATGTAGCTGGGTGGCTGTGTAGTTGAGTGACGATGTAGCTGGGTGGCTGAGTAGTTGAGTGACGGTGTAGCTGGTAGCTGTGTAGTTGAGTGACGATGTAGCTGGGTGGCTGAGTAGTTGAGTGACGGTGTAGCTGGGTGGCTGAGTAGTTGAGTGACGATGTAGCTGGGTGGCTGTGTAGTTGAGTGACGGTGTAGCTGGGTGGCTGAGTAGTTGAGTGACGATGTAGCTGGGTGGCTGTGTAGTTGAGTGACGATGTAGCTGGGTGGCTGTGTAGTTGAGTGACGGTGTAGCTGGGTGGCTGGGTAGTTGAGTGACGGTGTAGCTGGGTGGCTGAGTAGTTGAGTGACGGTGTAGCTGGGTGGCTGGGTAGTTGAGTGACGGCCTGTAGCTGGGTGGCTGTGTAGTTGAGTGACGATGTAGCTGGGTGGCTGTGTAGTTGAGTGACGATGTAGCTGGGTGGCTGGGTAGTTGAGTGACGGTTGTAGCTGGGTGGCTGAGTAGTTGAGTGACGGTGTAGCGGGTGGCTGGGTAGTTGAGTG